TAACGCTAAAAAACAAGTTTCGATACCCGCGGTAGGCATAATACGGGTAGCCCATTGTGTAGCTATGGGCTTAACAACAAATCAAACATATATATATATATATATGACATAATTTTTATTATTTAGAACACCCCCTTAAACATGTGACATGATCCATTTTGTATTTTCTAAAAAATTTCGTTTGTTTCACAGGGCTAAACAGGAGTATATTCGCATAGTCTTCCCTAATTTGGATTGATAGACTAAAGAAGGCAACTAATCAACAGCCCTCCCACAAATTCTTTGGCTACTCTTATATGATCGAACAGTGAGAAATCCTGGCGTGGCCTAATGAGAAGCTTATTGTAAGTCCAAGGAGTCATGGTTCGCGTCTTATTGCCACAGAATTGCGCTCTGTACTTTAGACCTTGGATAGGCTATAAGAGTGACAGTAAAATCCCACTCTTCAATCAGACAAGAGTCGCCCAAGAGTTGGAGGTAAGCGATGAGCCTGATAAAAATCTCGAAACGTTTGTTAGAAATTTCTAAGGCAGATGCAGTCCACAGAAGTTTTCAATCAAGTAAATGTCTGTTCCATTAGGTTTGTGTATCCTACTAAAATGCATGCACGAACCACTAATGATTTCGAAGTGACAATAGTAAAATGGCTCAAACACAGAGCTCAAATATTAACCCTATAAAATACTTTGGGGGGACATCTGGTGAGATTAATACGGAATTTTAAACTACAATCTCCCAGTCGTCAATACTGGAGGACTGGTTTTTGAAACAACAGTACAGAAAAATTGTTTCAGACGCTCGTAAGAGCAGAGTTGAGAGCTAATATTAATCAGAACAGCTGGAAGTTCCGGATTTTTTTTTTACATTTAAATATATTACACTAAGATTTTCAAAGTCAAATTGATCTTGATCTTACGGACATTTCTTAATTTCATGATCGCAGGTTCTTGAATCAAGGAATTAACCAACCCTATTAAACACTCACAAACTGAGTAAAAGTTTTTGAACACATTTCATGTTCACTAACCTTCTCATCAAGGTTTGCTTATCTGTATAGATGCCATGGAAAATGTGATTATAAAGAGATGATGGCTATATAGAGATTTTCTTTCGTGGGTTTTGTATATGCAGTATATATGACAAATTCCACACACACTGTTATTAATAATATTACTGTATTAAGTAGGCATGGAGATGAATTAAACTTGGTAAAGCTTAATCACAATGTATATATATATATATATATATATATATATAT